ATTGTACTTTGAAGAGATAAACAAGCTCTCACAACATTTTTTTTTTTTTACCCCCGATGCCTATAATTTTTCACTTTCCCAGGCCAGTAATGGAACAGCCCTTTGTTCTTTGGCAGTGAATGTGGAAAGCTGGACAGATACTGACTTTATGAACAAAGAGGCCTCGGGTTAATGGGAGTTGTATTGGGTGGTGAAACACTCACTGTATGGAAAATAGGGGGAATAGTGCTTTTTGAGTATCGAGATACAAACTGTTCATAATACTTTGTTTAACTTAGAACGACACCATTTGTGCATTGACTAACACTAACACACATAGATATAAGTATTTAAAATTTAAACTATAGTGGTGTTGTTACAGTTCAGTGAACTCTCTTTGAAAAAGGAATCTGGTATAATGAATTAATCCAGAGCACATATATATTCATGAATGAAAAAGCATTCAAATGAGAACCAGTTTAACACCCTAAACCGGTTTTGACATTTTTGTAGTTATCTCAAGCATTCTGACCGTCCCAGTGTGTCATGCTAAAGTCCAGTTGCCACTGTGGAGCTGTTCTTCAGCACTACAGCTGAAAAAATATATATTCTCCAAAAATCTTTGCTGTTTTTAAAAGATGTATTGGAACACAATTTATATTTTCAAGCAGATGAACAAAAAAGAGTAGCTGATGATTTATTTGTTTATGTTTTCTCACAGCATTGCGGTGCAAGCATTTGGACTTTGGTTTAGTCTTTCACACTTGGAACCGTTTTTCAGGTCTTCATTTAATGGATTTCTTTCTCATCATGAAATTCACCTGCTGAATTCAGCCTTCTGAGCTATCCTTTGGTTTAATTTCACTTACATAACAAGGATATGGGTATAAACATATTTGTATTATTTTTTTTATATTAGAAATCATTTTAAATTGAATTACATCTTTGGAATTGCATTAATGTCATAGACCCTTGACCCAACATCTCCTCCCTTATATGAGGTAATTGTTTGGATTTTGACTTTAGCATGCCTTCGTCTCCTTCTGTGTATAAGGCAAAACTTCCTCAAATATGACTCAGCCATCCTGAAAAGGGTAGATCAAAAGCTCTGCTATCTGAGGGCCTAGAAGTCGCCTCAACTTCTGCCTTGACCTTACCCTGCCGCACCTTCACAAATGAGATGAGAGCCAGAACCTAAGAAAAATATTCCTGTTCATTCTTTCAGTTATTGATGTGAGGTGATGGAAAAGAACAACCGCGAAAGTAAGTCTTTTTTTATTTTTTTTATTGAAAATCAGTGTGGAGAACACAACAGACAGCACGCAACAGTATTCAAATAATGAAAGGACAGAGTTACACACAAAGTTAATCGTGCCACAACAGATAAACAAAGCTAAGGTTAAGCCATGAGACTGCACAGGACACAAAAAACAATATGATTAGCAAATGGCATTCCTGTGTCAATGATGATGATTGCTGTGGTGGAAGGACTTTTTTTTTTGTCTCATCAGAAAGCATCGTTGTCTTTTTCCACACTTCTTTCTGTACTCAATTTGAACTGTTCTGTTTACAGCTAACTAGCTCACTAGTGGATAAGTAAGATAGTAAGATTCTGTCAAAGCATAAAATATGGGTTCGCTGCACAGTCTGGCCAAAATAAACTGATTTCTTCACCCAGCTACTTCAAAATCTAATTCAATCTATCAACCTAGAGGCCTAAAGGAAAAGGGTTTTCTATTCAAGTACGTCTCGCAGAGTACAAAATCTCTTTAAAGCAAGACTTGGCAGGATGACCTTGAAAGATCAAACTGCTGCTGTTGTCAAAATAGTGACATCATCAATTTTAACCAAATTAGAGAGGGCCAGGAAATAAAGAAAAACTAAACTTGAGTTAATTTGCTTTTCAATTACCATGACCTTTTCAAGACTCTGACGTCTAAAGAAAATTAATCAACAAAACATTCTGTTCTTGGATCAGCTTCAATCCAAAACCCTATGTGCTCACTGTTTTGTAGTCTACTTTTGATGTCATCTAGTCTGTCGTTAAAGGAAAACGTCAAGCTAAAGCGGAAAGGTGTGCTGGCGAGAGTCTGCAGGACCACATATTAGAAGACAGGTAGGACTAAGGTTTCTGACATTCAGATTTTAAATGAGAATAGAAAAGATAATATTTAAGTTGAAAATCTTATGGAAATAAAGAACTTCGTTACCTGTCTGACCATTTTTGTAAGAGAGCAGCACTCACTAAAATGTCACTGATTTGAAATGACGTCACACGTGAGCATTCACGTTATAATAATAATCCAAATGCAATCATGTAAATATGTGTCCAGCTAAAGACTTCACCTTTAAAGCTCCAAATTCGTAGAAATAACATTGTTCCTGAATCCTGAATTTTTTTATATCTGAAACTTGTTATATTGTGTATTGTGTGTGCTGTCTAAAATCCTCGCACTGTATTGCACATAGTAGTGTCCCATCAGCTTTAAAGAGCTTTGATAACTGTCATTGAACAGGAATAAAATCAAGATGACTGGATATCATGGAGATTTGATGCATTGATAGGTCGAGTCATAAGGTTGTAACGACCCTCAGTGAGGCTG